GGAGAGCGTGGCTGGAGGAGCTCTCTCTGTCCCCAGGGCCACCAGCGAGGACGTGCCCTCCCGCTGCCCTCTCCATCCGTGCCCAGGCAGATGGAAAGCAGCAGCTTTTTAATTATTAAAATTAGTGCATCCTTGAAAACACGTAGCACGCTTTTGGCTCTGCAAATCATTGCTTTCATGAGAGAGGAGCAGTAATAAAATTAACCGACAGAGAGGAATAAACAAGTGGCACAGATGTAAATATTATATAATCTGCATTTCCTAAAATATCCCCAGCTTGGCATCAGGAGTTGGATTCCAAAGAGAACCAGGGCAAGGATGCTGATAGAAAACAAATAATAATAGCAGGCAAATAGTAATTAATCATTCTCTATATGGGTATAAATGTTTGCACGCCAGCTCCTTGCCAAACGCTCAAGGTGCTTTACGTCCCCTCGCCCCCCCCCCCCCCCCCCCCCCCCCGCGCGGGCGGGGGGGGGGGGGGGGGGGGGGGGGGGGGGGGGGGCGCCGCTAAGCCGCCCCGACCGCTCACATCCCTGCCCCTCCTGCCAGCAGCGGCGATCGCCGCGCAGCAGCAGCGCGGAGCCGGCGGCGGCTCCCGCACCCGGTCCCTGGCGGCGCGGCGGGGCCGGCGCTGCTGCTGCCGCTGCCGCTGCCGCTGCTGCAGCGACGCCGAGCCGCAGACCCTCCCCTCGCTGCCCGCCCGGCACGTACGGCCCCCGCCGGCTCCCCCGGTGGAGGCGGCGCGGGGGGAAGGAAGAGGCGGATGCACAGGAGCGGTGCGGTGCGGGGCGGCCCGGCCCCGCTGCCGCCGCTCGCCTCCTCCTCTTCCCTTTCCCCCTCCCCCGCCCCCCTATCGCCCCGGGCGTAGGCTTCCTCCTGCTCTCCTCCTCCTCCTCCTCCCCAGCAGCGGAGAAATGCAAATGGCAAGTGATCGGGGCGGCGGGGCGGCTCCCAGGCCGGCACCGGGGAGGAAGCGGGCAGCGCGGCGCTGCGCACGGCCGGCGGCGGCGGGGGGCAGCGGGGGAGAGGGGCCGCTTCCCTTCCCTTCCCGGCCGGGTCCGGGCAGCGGGGCTCCCCTCGCCCTGTGTCCCGAGGGGGGATCGCCGTCCCGCGGTGTCCTTCCCCCCGGGCACGGCCGGCTCGCTCTCCCCCGCCAGCCGCCGGCCTCCGCGCCTTTCCGCCCCCGGCCCCACACGGCGGGCAGGGACAGCGGGGTGCTGCCCCCCCCGCCCCGTCCCCATCGGCGGGTGGCGTGAGCCCGGGGGAACCATAAAGCGAGAATTAAGGTGTTGGGAGCCCCTCCCCGGTCACCCGTCCCCTGGGTCTCCGGCAGAGCCGGCTCCGGGAGCCGAGGGCTGCGGGAGGGGACCGGGGATGCCGGTTCGGCGCCTGGGCAGCCGGTGCGGGTCCGGGTAATAACCGTAGCGAGACTCGGAAGGAATGGTCAAGTCAGCAAAACCCAGTATTTTCCTTCAAAGTGCGAAGTGAAAAATTTGCAAGACCAGGTGTGAATGCAGTGGGAACAGGTTGGAGTAAAGAGATTGAAAGAATATGCACCAAATTCGGTTTTTTACGTATTCAGCCATCTGTAAACAGCTCCCATGGATTACTCATTATTGAGCTCAGTCGTTTTAGTGTTTTTTCATTAAGCAAGTCTGTATTAATCATGTATTGTTGAATTCAAACACAGGGGACAGACACAGACATCATTTTCTTATTTTTTCTTCAGTGGAAATACCTTAAAAAAAGGCGAGGATAAAAGGATTCTTTATTTATTCCTATTTAGATAAGATTTTGTGTCTGAAGGAAGGAACAGAAGGGAAATAAGGAAAAGCAGGTAGTGTGTAAAGAGAACAAAAATCCATCATATGACAGGAGTCTAAGAAAATAATTGAAGGGAGATTTCCAGATGACTTTTCAGTGCTGTTCACTGAATTCTGTTCTACCACAGCAGGACTTTCCAAGGCAGGATGCAGAACTTGTCGCCATAGTCAGACATACAGTGCAATATGGTAAGACACCGTCATTCTGTCAATTTATGCCAGCTTGGTCAACGAGCGACGCTTTCCCAGAGGGTTTTTTTCCAGCTATTCAAGCTAGGATGTCAGCAGCCATGTTTGATGCCTCCTCCTTAATCGTAGTTAGAAAATGTAATCTGAACTTGATTTATTCTGGTGGGGTGTTGGTCCTGAACCTTGTAGAAAAAGGTCTCTGTTATCCCTCCCACGTGGATCGGGAAGGAGGGAGGTTATTAGGAAGTTACAGGATATTTATGCTGACAGTTCTTCTCACAGCTTATTCTGACCACAGGGTTCTTCTCGGTGTCATGTCAATTAACACAACTCTTGGCTGCCTTTTTAAGCCCCTGACTACTTTCACAGGCTTGGTAACGGTGAATTGAAAAGCCACCCACAAAGAAACACCACTGTCCTCAAGAAAGCTAATATGGTTGGTATCTGGTTTCACAGCATCAACGGAATAGAACAAGAAGTCTGGAAGTACGGTTGGTTATTCTATTTATTGTTATCTATTTTAAGGGGCTCTTAAATTTCTATATCCTTAGCCAATTTGGCCCTTGACTTACCTGTTGACTCTAGTACTGTTACAGCAGGAATGGCTGCTTTCCCTGCAGAAAAGCTAGATTATATATTGAGGTCATTCTTTTGATTAAAATTTGATTTGATTAAAATTTTATTAAAATACTGAAAATGGAAGTCTTAGAAAATCAAGATGAATCTCTACAGTAGACCCCTAAATTTTTAAAGATTGAGAGGTGCTGACATCCAGGTACCCTAATGTGTTACTGCAACAGTATCTGTCTGCATGCTGTAATTTCTATAACAATGGACATTAAACCACCCTCTTGAAGAATGTTTCTAGAGAGCTTTACACGTTATTTCACAAATGATAGGACAGTTGGTCTTGGAAGTAATGGTCTCGTCTCAAGGGAATTCAATGTATGTCTTTCCAATTGCTTTTTGAGTCTTGCAAATTGGCTCACGTGGTTTCTAGTTTTGTCTCAAGTTCAGCTCAGCTCGGTTAGATTATACCAAACTGATTACCCCAATTAAATAAAGAAGAAACATAAGTAACTTCTATGTTTGCGTTCCTGAGAATCTGAAAGCATTTACCAAAGTGTAAATAAGGTAAAAAGAAATTGAGCAACATGATCATAAAATTTATGTGACAAGATTGGCTTAAAATGTAATGGGAAAAATTATCTAAAGAGAGAGAGAGAAGCAACTCAGTGAATGTGTCGCAATAATGTGTGACTAGTGACTGGGAAAGTAACTGAGGAAATGCACAGACCAGCCAATTTCTGCTCATAGATGGGTTCTGCCTCCTTTAGACTAAGAAGACTTTTTTCATTTTATGGTGGAAAGAAAACCCCTTTTCACCTATCAGTAAAGCGGTTTGAAATGTTTCAGTAAGCATCAGGACACCTTATTATGTCCCAAAGTATCTTCTTTACATATTTTTCTAAACATGTTCCTGTTATATATAAATAAATATTAGAAGTCTTAAGGAAAGTAGTAATACGCAGACTTGCCATTATAAGGGAATATACAGAACTTGGGGCAATGGCATTTGTCCAATATTTCTGATATGGGAGAGTATTCAAAAGGGCAGAGACAAGGAAAAGAATCCAAAACCCCCCAAAATGTCAAATTTCTGTCAACCCTTCAAAACAGTAACAAAAACCTGTCTCCACTTCTATGTGCTCCAGACAAAACTCTAGTACAAAACAAACTAATCCTCTGCTTTTTCTCCAGTTTCAAGGACTTACTTGCCACTCACCGATACAGCAAAGCTCACTGATGTCTGTAGACAGTGTGCTCTGGGAGGTGGAACACTTAAAGGATCAATACCATTCCACTCTTACAGCATAAAACACAATGCTACCCTTCCGGTAAGCTTCCTCAAAATGACAGTCATTTCTAAATGACACTGTGGCATTAAAGTCTGAACACATAGGCACTAAGCTGTTAGAGATATAGGAGCAACGCTTACCTGTCCCCACCACAGAAGTGACACAAAGCAAAAAAAAAAAAAAAGAAAAAAAAAGTTAGCTTTATGTTTTAGTGTAATTTTCACTAGAACTCTATTATTGGCAGTTACCATCCAATATTCTGATGTAATGTTCAAGGAAATACTCTTGAGTTTATAGCTCATTTCCTTAAAGCCTGTTCCACTTTTAGACAGGTAGCAAGTCAGCCGGCCCTTACACCATTGCTCTCAGTTGCCCATCCAAGTAGTCATTGCCACTCTGTGTAGCCACAATCCTTACCCAGAGCAGTCTATATTAGAATACAAAGCCACTGAAATCATGGTGAAGTTATAAATAGATTGGCTTCTTTGGGTCATCACTTGAAGCCTGTGATGACTTGGATTAAAAAAAACCCCAAAAAACTAGCATGGTGGATCTATCATGATTTAAGAGTGAATTTCACTGTGAGTAAAGCACCTTAAACCGATTTTTGGAGTGGATTAGCACTGTTCCATTGATACAAAGCCTTCAGTTTTTTTAAAAAAACCCCACAGTTAAAATGGCATTAATAACATGACTTAAAATACTGCTTAATTCTTAATTAAAGCTTTAAATATTTTCCTGCTATAAAATCTGAAGCAATGACTTAGATTACAATATGAAACAACAGGTTAAACTACCACCTGTCCAATCCTCCATACATTTTTATGAATTATTTTAAGCCATCTTATCTAGCCTAGGGGGTGAAAAAGACCTTTAGCCAACATATTTTAACATTATATATTTTATTTAGTTTACTTTTTTTTGGATAGGAATGGAGAAAAAAAAAAACAACCAAGCATTGCAGTGATGTACCAGAGAACCAAGGCTTATTTTTATTCAAAATTTCCAAAGCAACTGTATTTTTTTTCTATTTTAAAAATGTGTATTAAACAGCAGCAATAGACACTGCAAACAAAACAGAAGGATGTGCAGGTGCTACACATAGGTGTGTGGATTGCTATGACAGTGACCTCTAACTTTTCATCAAAGACTAAGTAGTCATGCTTCCAGATGTCACTGAGGCCCACAATAGCTAAGACTATGGTGGCTGGCATCATAAATGCTCCTAGCAATGTTCAATAAATCATACAATGAGAGTCCCGAATGATACCACAATTTATTGTAACTGTTGGCATTACACTTTTTAATGATGGTTTTAACTTTTTCTTGGTTTGCCTCCTTCACTAATGTCATGTCATTTCATCTTTCAGCCTCTGCCCGTTACCCTCATTTCTCCTTTTTCCTTTCCTTACTTTTTTTTCCTTTCCTTACTCTTACACCATCAAGACTTTTTTTTCCCTAGTACATCTCCTCATTCCCTCCTTTCAACTCTTACTTCTGTCTATCCTATCCACTCAGTTTCCCTTTTCCACCTCACTCTTGGCAGCTTGGTAGCTCAAGGAAGAGGGCTAAAACAGAACAGGAGAAACAGGAGTTTTACAGGAGAGGCAAGCAGTAATATTTCTGAACCTTTTATCCATGAACGTCCGATGTCAGTCACAAAGAAATCCAGAATGGGAACCCTGTGTTCCCTGCCAGGTCTTGAAGTGAGTTGTCTCTTGCCAGCAGCCCCATTATTTCCATGAATCGTGGACATTTCTGGCTGCACACTGGCAGTGCTCAGTAAAGAAAGTAATGGGACCTCCATCTCGACGGCGCTGAAGCCCCGTAGCTTGGGTATTTCTCTAGAAGTGGAGAGCTGTCAGTGTGTACTCATAGGCTGACATTAAGTTACTGTCTCCTCAGCTGTCTCTTATCAGGCTTACACCCTAAGGTCAGGCAGTGATCAGTGCTGATGGAACACCATCCTGCCGGAGCATAACAAATAGCTCCCAATCAGTCCAAGAGGTGGAATTTCAGCTCCACTCCTTCCCTGGCCGTGGGCTGTGCTCCCTTTACAACTATTCTAAATCCCCTTCCTGAGGGCTTTACGGCTGCCATTCACTGTGCAGGGAACCCAGATGGCTTAGCTATGCCCATGGAATAGCTGCATTTGCAGCGGTCGGGCAGCACGTAAGCACTGCTTCTCCCAATTCACATTTAGTCCCAGACGATAATGTTCAGTGAGTGGCTCCAGGGTATGCAGACTGTTTCTGAAATCCACAGAGTTACTGGTGTCGTTTACCACAGCTGAACTGTGACAATGACAAATTTCTCAGTTGTTGAGTAAATACATGGTTAAAACGCCTTAAAACAAAACTCCTCTGTTATATCCAGATTGCAATTTCTTAATTGCAAATAGTCATGCCAGAAAGTACTCAAACTGTAAAATACTTACCTTGCTAAAAATATTCCATTTAGTCCATTTTCTGCAACAGTAAATATGATTCACCATGTCACCATCTGTTACCAGGTACTGATGCTTTCCTGCATCAGGAAAAGCTCCATAACAAGCTCCATTGCAGCCAACCTGTGCCTGATCTTAACTAAGAATTCATAACCCCAAATTAAAAGGAATTATCAAGTACTCTAAGTTTAGCTGAAATTGATAGGGTGGGAAGCAGCACTTTACAAGATTAGCCCTTAGGAATTCAGGACTAATTCCATCAGTAGACCACGTCTCATTCATACTGCAAGCTGTGGGGTACTGTTTGATCTGCGACCAAGCTCTAAATGAGAGGCTGAAAAGAGAGAAAATTAGCACAGACTTGCATGCTGCTGCAACTACACTGCTTCCTATACCCAAGCAAACTCATTTAGTGTTTGCTCAGCTATTGCTGCACAACCAACTGTGTTTAACTTCACAGATGTAATTAGACTTGGGTGCCTGCATTTGTTCCCTTCAGAAGACTGGAACCGGGGGTTAATGCAATGTTCAGTCAGTCTTCTTAAACCAAGCCACTCTTTAATCTTAAGGAACTAAACATAAAAGAAAGTGACATTTACAATAATTAACGAGCGTATGCAACTGTCTCATCTAACTCTTACCAAAAGCATCCCAAGCTTGCATACAACAGCCTAACTTTCAGACTCCATACAGGTGTTTTCCTTAGTCACTTTTCCACACTCTCCTGTCCAGTACCCCTATGGCCAGGAAAAGGGGTTTGGCTTTTTATCTGCTTATAGGCCATCTTTTATGGTTGTTTCTCATCTGGTAAGACAGTTGTGTAACCTGGAGGGAGCCAGAGTCATTCTTCTTTATAAATAATAGCTCAGACATTGTATTTAATGTTAAACTCATAGAAGGGAGCACACTGTGTGGGTTTTACTTATTTCTTCAGCTGCTAGGAAACACAGCCAAACATGTTCAGTATTCATCCCATTGACCATATATTTTGGTAGTTATCCAGATAATTTGTTTGCAAGCCGTGCTCATGCTTACTAGAAGTCAGCCCATTCCCCAGGTTCCCTGTTATCATAGTACAGCATGAGTCAACAGTATTCAGAATGCAGAAGTCACTTTTAAGCTAAATAACACCATAATCTAAACTAGTAAAAAATTGCAGTCTCTGCTATAACCTAAACAGACTGCAACAATTAAAAAAAATCTTAGGCAAAAAGTCTGTGGAGTTATATGTCAAAACCACCAAAGTATTTGGAGAAACAAATCTACCCCCTTTCATGTATTTGCTGCACTTTGTACAACATCATGCTTACTACATATCAAGTAGATGTCCTTCCTTTTAAAACTGTGTGCTAACTTCAGAAGGCTTTTCAGTAGATGACCAGCTTCAGATGTCTGGTGGTGAGACTGCTGGTTGTCTACAAGATAGGAAATGGGTGAAACAGAAGCAGTAGCAATGAAACAAAATCTGACATCCCTCAAGGATATATGTGTCAAATGCAAAAGAAAGTGCAGTATTTGCAAGAGAAAGATCTGTTTGAGGTTAATCTACAATGTGGAGAGGGGAAGGGAAGGGACAGAGGGGAGGAAAAAGGTAGAGGATTTAATAAAAAAGTTCAGAAATAACTAGGAGAAAAGGAATGATTACTTTTACTTGGAAGAGAAGAAATATTTAAATACTTCACTTGATGTAAGTATTCTTTCTTAAAAAAAAAAGTCAATGGGTATTAACAATTAACAATGAAGACATTGCTTTGCAAATCACATCTAAGCTTTCGGTATGAGTAGTCCCACTGATGTGACAAGTTATGAATTAAAATGAAATTATTAATTAGTTTTTTAACACAGGTCTTAGTTGTGCCACATCCATACTTTGACTTTTAAAATCCATATGCTTGTGTGCAGCATATAAAAAAGTACCATTTTATGTAAGCCTAGTGAAGCTTTGCCTATTCCAGAAATATTATTTCTCTGTATTTCTAATATACTTTAAGTTAGTATTAAAACCAAATCTCCTTAAATACAATATATTCTTGAAAAGAATGCCAAAATAATTGACTGTCATTGTTGAAAAGATTCATAAATGCCTTTGTGAGGAAGGAGGTTGGTATATGTCCATTAATGAAGCAATGCCTATATTGTGTATGGGTTTGAGCATTCACAGTGCTATCTAGCGTCGCAGTCCCTTCTCTGATACATAAAACATGCAACATGACCAAGGTTATATTCTGAAAGTAAAATAAAAATATCCTCCTCTAGGCATTTCCTCTGCCTTAGCCCAGAGGGGTGCCATATTACTTCAAACCCACAAAATTAATGAAGAAAAATGTGCAAAAAAAAAGTTTCTGGATCAGGTGTCTTTTTCAGATCTTCTGTGTGACCTTTTTCTCTTTCCTCTTCTTCCTCAATTCTGCTTTGATTTTTCTCTGAAATGAGATTTAGGCTGCCAACAGTGAAGTAACCCATTTTACAAATCCTGTTGGAGCCCCATCTGTTTTGGTTGAACTTTGTATTTATTTTGTCCCATCTAACACCCATAAACACTAATTAAATATATTGTAACATGTAGATGAGCTGTCTTGTGACTGATAAGATT